CCAGGCTTTCCTTCCCACCGCTGATGGGGCTACTGTTCTGTTCCGTTAGGTAGATTTTTTTTATCATCCTGAGTTGGTACAGTGTGTCACATATTTCATATATGTATATACACATGCATAAAGTATCAGATACGTAATACATATGTCATGGGTTCCCAGATAAAAAGAGTGGTTGAAAGACAATCTTATTTTGTCTGAACCCAATATCCAGATGCTACACACCAGTGTCAGTGCTGGGAGCACTGTGGCAGGCATTTTTTTGTCAGTCTGTTTTTTGCTACTGCCCTGTTCTCTTGTGGCTCACGTTTCGCTTGTCTTAAGGCTGCATGCTTTTCTGTCAAGTAGAAACTCTAGTCCTACCTGTGGGACAGATACTTCTGGCAGTTCCCCTCCTGTTCTAATGAGTCTTTCCCACCCATCCTTCAGGCTTCCCAGGGTGGGGAGGGTGCCTGGGCCACCCCCGAGGAGCCACCGGTCGACTACAGCTACTACCAACAGGATGAGGGCTATGGCAGCAGCCAGGGCACAGAGTCCTCGCTCTATGCCCATGGCTACCTCAAGGGCGCCAAGGGCCCTGGCCTCACTGGAGCCAAAGGAGACCCAACTGGAGCAGGTGAGCCCAGCATCTGTCCAAGCCCACTCTGAAACTAGCAGCTCAGGGTCCTAGCACCTGTGGTTCACGGACATTCTCTCTTTTGCTGTCCCTCTCTCCAGGGCCCGAGGCCTCCCTGGAGCCTGGGGCAGACTCCGTGTCACTGCAGGCTTTCTCTCGTGCCCAGCCTGGTGCTGCCCCTGGCATCTACCAGCAGTCAGCTGAGGTGAGCAGCAGCCAGGGCGCTGCTGCCAACAGCCAGGTGAGGGAGTTCGGGGGCTATTCCAGGATCCCTGGTAGGCTGCGGTGGTATCCTGGGTATGCAGGGATGGTGTCAGCAGACACTGAGCCTTCTTCCCCTGTCTGACCCATGACCAGTCATACACCATCATGTCACCGGCTGTGCTCAAATCCGAGCTCCAGAGCCCTACCCATGCCAGCTCTGCCCTACCACCGGCCACCAGCCCCACTGCCCAGGAGTCCTACAGCCAGTACCGTGAGTACACAGGGCCCATGGGCAGAGGGTGGACACTTGTTAACAATGTGGGGAAGAGTGTGACCCCCCCCTCTCCCATTGGCCCCCAGCTGTGCCTGATGTCTCCACCTACCAGTATGATGAGACGTCTGGCTACTACTATGACCCCCAGACTGGCCTCTATTATGACCCTAACTCCCAGGTAAGAGGGTGGCCTGAGGATAGGTGGAGTGGATCAGGTCAGGGGCAGCTGTTCCTGTAGGGCCCCTTGTCAAAATGTTCCCTTATGCCCCCCATTTCTCCTACTTCCCACAGTATTACTACAATGCTCAGAGCCAGCAGTACCTATACTGGGATGGGGAGAGGCGGACCTACGTTCCTGCCCTGGAACAGACGGCCGATGGACACAAGGAGACGGCGCCCTCAAAGGAGGGCAAAGAGAAGAAAGAGAAGCACAAGACCAAGACGGCCCAGCAGGTAAGCACGGAGTCTGGCAGTCGCTAGCTGGTGCCATTTCCTGTGCTCTGTTGCAGGGGATGGGGGTAGACATGATCCAAAACTGCTCACAGCAGATGGGGTAGTGTGGCCTTAAGCTCAAACCATCTGCTTGGCACATTCCAGGCCGCCCACCTCCATGAGGTGGCTGGTGCCATCCTAGTGAGCCCTGTCAGCTGTCCTCTGCCCCACAGTGAGAGCCCTCACACTCATGGGTGTGTATATCCCAGGGAAATTCTCAGAGGCCCAAAACAGGGACGCCAGAAAAGGCACCATTGCAGTGTTTATGGGAGTAACAGTTGGAGGGAACCTCATTGTCTCTCTAGAGAAGAAATGTGACAGTCTGGGAGAAGCAAGCACTCAGTGTCCCCCTTGGCAGCCCAGTCAACTCTAAATGTGGTGGTGTGTGCACAGGGGCAGCTGGAGTATGGAATGTGGCAGTGCGTCATGTGTGTAATCACACTTATACACAGATAACCTGTCCTACGCGGTTTGTTTACAGTGATAAATTGAAAACACCTAGCAGCAAACAGTGGGGGTACCTGTCAGAAGAAGGGGGTATAGCCAGAGAGGGGCTCTACACTGCTCTGACAAGACAGATAGGAACTGGCCACACCGCCTCTCACCTGCTTGCTCTGCCTTAAATTCCCATTGTCTGCCTCTCAGACTAGCTGATACCTCCTTGCAAACCAAAAGCGGGTGGAGCTGGGGGGAATGTTGGGAGACAGGTTAGTAGGGTCCAAGATGCAAACACTTTGGAGGCTATGGGCCCAAGTCTGGGTCTCTTTCTGGTGATAGAAGCCAAGGAAGAGTTGTAAGGGATGAAGGAGGTGCTTATAGTTTGTAAAGAGCACTCTGCTCCCAGGGGACAAAAGTGGTCACCCAGAGGCTGAGTTAAGCCCATTGCAGTGGTTCAGACGAGAAGGACGTGATGGTGGGTAGCCCAGGTTTGAGGCTACAGGGGTGGGGAGGCAGGATGAGCTCTTGCCAGGACAGTGGGTCAGTGGATGGAGCTGGCAGCCTCAGCAGCTGAAGAGTTCCTGGGAACCTCACCCTCACCCAACCCCTGTCCTCACGCTCATCCCTAGATTGCTAAGGACATGGAACGCTGGGCCCGCAGTCTCAACAAGCAAAAAGAAAACTTCAAAAATAGCTTCCAGCCCATCAGCTCCCTGCGAGATGACGAAAGACGAGAGTCAGCTACCGCAGATGCCGGCTATGCCATCCTTGAGAAGAAGGTAGGTTGTGGCCACCTGTCTGCATCTACCTGCAACTTTGTCACTTCTCTGGGCCCTCTATGGAGCCCCTGAATCTCTGTCCCTCCACCCCAGGGAGCACTAGCAGAGAGACAGCACACCAGCATGGATCTCCCGAAACTGGCCAGCGATGATCGCCCGGTGAGTGCCCAGGGCAGAGGGGCAGGGAGCTCTGATCTGGCCAGGTCTGACTGCCCACCTCCACCCTTCCCTTCCCCTCTGCAGAGCCCGCCACGGGGGCTCGTGGCAGCCTACAGTGGAGAGAGTGACAGTGAGGAGGAGCAGGAGCGCGGAGGCCCCGAGCGGGAGGAGAAGCTCACTGACTGGCAGAAGTTGGCCTGTCTGCTCTGCCGGCGCCAGTTCCCCAGCAAAGAGGCACTGATCCGGCACCAGCAGCTCTCGGGGCTCCACAAGGTGACTGTAGGGAGGGTTGGTAGGGCATCGTGACACCTGTCCCCACTCCCAGCCCAGTCACTTCACTCCTCTACCTTTCCCGTTGCAGCAAAACCTTGAGATTCACCGGCGAGCCCACTTATCTGAAAATGAACTAGAAGCACTAGAGAAGAATGACATGGAAGTGAGTGGTACCCCACTCCTGGGCTCCATCCACCCTGTCCCTTCGAAGTCCCCACCCCCTTGGGCAGCTGGAGTTCAAGCTCCTTAGCCAGGTGCAATCTGGCTGTCTGTGCCTGTGAAGTCCTAACCCTCGGGTCCCGGGACCTTTAAGCCCTCTGTAGGACCCCACTCCACCCACACCTTGCACCCGTGTTTTCTGAAATAAGGGACTTGCTCCCAACAGTCTCTCACACATATGGACACAAATTTTTTCAGCAAATGAAGTACCGAGACCGTGCCGCTGAACGTAGAGAGAAGTACGGCATTCGGAGCCACCAGAACCCAAGAGGAGGAAGTACGGCGGCATATCCACTGCCTCCGTGTGAGTGTCCAGGCCAGTTGAGGGGGTCAGGGCCAGTAGACTGAGCACTCAATGCTGTACATATCTGTCTCCTGCAGGGACTTTGAACAGCCCACTCGGGATGGGCTGGGCAGTGACAACATTGGCAGTCGCATGCTCCAGGCCATGGGCTGGAAAGAGGGCAGCGGCCTGGGCCGCAAGAAGCAAGGCATTGTAACACCCATTGAGGTGAGTCCCCACGATCCCGTCTTGTCCCCTCCTCTCCATTACTCTCACTGCATCCCAGCCAACCTGACAGCCCGCCTCCCTCACACAGGCTCAAACACGGGTGCGGGGCTCCGGCCTGGGGGCGCGGGGCAGCTCCTATGGGGTCACCTCAACTGAGTCCTACAAGGAGACGCTGCACAAGACAATGGTGACCCGCTTCAATGAGGCCCAGTAAATGACTGCAAGAACAACTCCTACATCTGTTGGGTGTCCATCGAGGCAGGAAAAGATGATGTGTTGGGTGGTCCGAAGGAAACCCAGCTCCCATCTGCCGGCCTGCTCCCCAGCCAGAGAGGCCCTGGCCAAGTCAAACTTCGAGCTGGTGACTTTCGTTGGAAAATTGGGCTGGGATCATGTTCTTTTTGTAATAAAAGCTGAAAAGTCTGCATCTCGTATCTCTTCTTTCTTATGGCGTGGCTTGGTTTATGGTCCATATAGACACAGGAACATGAACATGGATGGATTGGGGGCCTTATCAGGCCGAGGTGGATTGCCCTGGTAGCATTCATGGTGCCTGGCACGTGTTGGCTACTAGAACATGGGGTTCCGGCCTGTGCCCCAGCCCACAAGATCCTCGTCATAATTGTGGCCCCTCTTCCTTGGAGGGGTCTAGTAGGTCATTGGCATACCAGGAAATTGAATACTACCAGGTCCAAAGTCCCTCCATATCAGAGCCAGGACTGGGACCTCCCCCCAAGCCCTCTATCCTTGCTGGCCTTGGCCTACAATCCCAAGGCTAAACTCACACTTTGCCACCGCTGGGTCTGAGGACAATGCCCTCAGGCATAATTGGGTCCGGAGGTCCTCAACATGCTCATGAGGTAGAGATCAAGAAAGCCCCATCTGTAAATGCTAGGTCCCAGGGATGTCCCCAGGACTGTTTAGGTTCATCCTCCACCCCATCTTTGCTCCTATAGCACCATGCCCTACCTCCTGGTCACTGCCGACTGGTCCACAGCCTGATTTCCAAGTGTGTGTGAGTGCTCTTGGCCTAGGTTCTGGGAGAAGTGCAACATGGAGCTGGGGCTGCCCTCTTCAGGCCTCAGAGGGCTAGGCTGTGAATTTTCCCCCCCCCCCCCTTCCACATGCACTTATGAGACAGGGTGGAAGGAAGGAGGAGGTGCTGAAAGAGCAATTGATACAAAGCCCCTGTGTTTAGTGTAATAAAGCACCTGACACCACCCTGCTTCAGTTATGGGAGCTGGTGCTAGAAGGGAACCCCTAAGGATAAGGTGGTGCTGAGCTGGGGAGGAGGTGAGAGAAAAGGAGAGGGAGAGGAAATAGAAACAAAATAGGCCACTTGGGTGGCCAACTCTGCAAGGCAATCTCATATGGGAAGGTTCATGGTTCAAGTCTGGAGACTCCCTGAGTATGCCCTGCACATGTTTGCCTATGATCTGGGGTGGCTGCAGCTGGGAATGGATCACAGCATCAAGATCTTGTTGGGTCAGGGGCAGCAGGTGGTGTGGTGGTTGAGGCGCTGGACACTCCCACATTGCCACCACCTTTCAAATCTCAGACCTGGTGGCTTGCTTTCTCACTTTGCCTCTCTCTGTGTCTCTGCCTCTCTCTCTCTCTCTGTGTGTGTGTGTGTGCCTCTCTCTGGTCAAATTTAAATGAATGAATGAATATATTTTTAAAATTCTTTTTTTTTTAAATAAAAAAAAAGGATGTTGGGCCAGCCAGTGGCATGGTAATTAAGGCAACTAGATCCCACATGGCCCACTGAGCAGTTAGAGTCCCAGACCCAGTGGCTTGAAAAACGCCAGATGTGTGGTGTGTGTGCATGCCCAAAATCTACAGAAGAGAATGGAGAAGGGATCGTGGCATGGCCATTCCCTCTGGAGTGTGCTTTCTCACTTTCCCTTTTTCTCCCTCTGTCTCTGGCAAGCACACGTACCCCCTAGCAAATATTTTAAAGAGATTATCATCAGGAGTTATTACAGAAGAAGTGAAAACAAATAAAATCCTTTTGTGACTCTCCATGAATCTTAGAAAAAAACAAACACAGCCTGGCTCACTAGGCCCTACTTGACCTGACCATGGATCTCACCTCCTAAAGCTCTCTCTTCCTTGTACCTCTTCAACTATACAGACTTTCCATGTTTCTCCTCAAATGTGGCAAGAGTTCTCCAAACAAAATTTTGCACCTCATGCTTCCCCTGTCTGGCATGCTTTTCCCCCATGTCTATACATGGCTCGCTTCCTCACTGTTCACTCCCTTGCTGCTGCACGCATGCCCCTCCTCAGGCATTCCCTGACCACTTTAGATGAGTTATCAGAAAAGGGTCTCTCTGGGTAATGGTTGCAATGTGGGACCCCCACATAGTCCACCACAGTTGGAGTCCCAGACCCAGCTGCTTAAAATTCACTCCAGGGGTGTGTGTGTGTGTGCGCATGCCCAAAATCCCGAGAGGAGAATGGAGGAGAAGGGATTGTGGCATGGCCACCCCCCCCCTGTGAGGGGGGGTGATTTCTCACTTTCTGTCTCTCTCAGTCTTTCTGGCGAGAGCTGCGCCCTATAGCAAAAACCTCTCAAAAAAAAAAAAAAGAAAGAAAGAAAGAAAAGGTCTCTGAGGTGAGGCAAGGAATAAATAATAAAATGACTGTATCTCCTCCCACATGGTTGACCACAGTTCGAGTCCTAGACCTGGCGGTTTGCTTTCTCACTTTCTCACTCTCTCTCTCTCTCTCTCT